TACACTGGTTAGCCACTGAACTCCTTCAGCTTCTGGCTGAGCATCTCACTCTGCTCCTCCTTCTGTCCCTGCCGTCAAGCTTCTTGGTGTCCAGTGCCCACTCATTGCAAAAATGGGTCACCTCATCGTTCAGCTTCATCTTGTCCTTTCTCAGTTGGATCAGCCTCCCTTCTTCCAATCCAGTCCTTATGGTCTGTGCACGACAATCCCTGGCAATTCTCGACATCCAGCAGCCTCTCACACAAAGCTAAGGGAAGATGCCAAAGAGTATCGTGAACGTGATCACGACGATACAGTCGAGATTGTCATTCTCTTCCATGTTGTAGGACGCCTCTCTCATAGCTGAAGTCACCCTTCGTGGTGTTCAGAGCGTCTGCGGTGTTCAGGTTGCAAACATTGCACAATAGGGTTCTTTATGGTCTATTGAACATGTTCTCGCCCCTAGTCCTGTTCATGGCATTCTTCATCTTGGGCGAACGAAAAGTCTCATCGCTCTTCAGCCTCGTCATCTGTGTCCTCATTCCTTGTTCGAGTAGTGGGGCCCTGCATCTTTTGTGAGGCCGTCTGCATACTGCAGCTCTGAAGAGACCCACACAACCCGCATCACCTTGCCATTGCAGCACGCCATCTTCTTATGGCACACTAACGCCTTGATTGTTGTTCTCTTGTTGGCTCCTCGATGTATATAGGCCCGGCGTCCACAATCTGGGCTGTTCTCCAAGTAGCCGGTCTTGAAGAAGATCAGGTTCCAGAACAATGTCGTATACTTCACAAGCTATCTGGCTTCGCTTGCTGCCTGCGACTCAGCTGACAAAGCACTCCTCGATACAGCAGGTAGCTTCCAAGTCCAGGAGTCCAGGATGTTGCAGCGCTCTTCACATCGCCCATTAGCCACACCTTTGCGACACGTTGCCAGTTGCCAGCTCTTGTTTTCTCCAAGCCGTGCTCTTGTCAGCGTTTGCACAACTATGAGGTGTACCTGGAACCTTGCTCTTCGTCAGTTTTTCTGTCCACTGCTTGCACACATAAAACCAATGCTTTGCACGCTGCTTTTCTGAATGAATGAATGAATGAATGAATGAACATCTTTGCGTATCCCGGTTCAATGACGTGCACTCCCTTCAAACTCGGTTGCACCGCCTCTTCTTTTGCCCCAGAACAACAAGTCATCGACATGTGCAAGAATCACGCATCCACGCGGCAAACGAAAAATTGAGTTGTTCCAAACGAGTCTCGCCACCAAGCATCTCGTGATTGTCCTTTGCCACATGATCCTACCACCGTCTTGCAGGCTCTTTTTTACGAAGCACACTTTTGCTGATGTAAATACAAGCCTGTGACCGTTGGTCTCATTTTCGACTGTGGAACATGTAGGTAGGCATAAAAACTCACAACCACGCTCACGCACCATTCTTACATGCTGTTGAGCTTGGCGCAACATCACTGAGGTCAAATACAAAACGACGAACTGCACCTTGGCCCGACTGCTGCTGCTGAGAACCACCTGAAGCTGGTGTTGCGTCCGTGTGCTGCTTCCCACTTCCAGATGTCTGCCCATCAACCTGTCGAACCTTTCCTGCTTTACCTTCTTTCGCATGCCAACACTCTTTGGCCATGTGGCCACTTCGACCGCAGTTGTAACAAACAGCCTGGGTCTTTGCTTTTCCTTTGCCCTTGCGCTATCACCTTTCCCTGGCTAGTCATCGACTCTTTCATGTTGAAAACTGGCCACTGCACGATAACCTGAGGAAGCGCCATTGCCCTGTTCTTGCTGGCAGGCATGCGGCTGGCCACCATTTGGCACGTCGTCTCAAGACCATTCATGTCCCTGACTGCGCGCAACAATGTCAACGGCCTGTCATGCCAGCAACTCCGCTGTCAAGTTACACCTGAAACAACAGTGCAAAAATCAATGTTGCAAAGCGACGCAACACGCGGGGTCGTCGGGTCCACTATGTCAGGATGAATGTCCGCTGGGTTGGTGTTCTGACATCTCACTAAATGGAAGCACGGCCTTCATCCTGACAAATACTACAAAATGAAGCATCTTTGGCTTTCTGCCAGTGTGTGCACCTGGCATCCAAATGGATTACATGTCCACTCGGTGCACGACGAAGATTGCACATTTTCGACTCCAGCTTGATGAGCTGCTCTTGGGACTTCAAGAACATTGAAAGATTGTCATCTCTCTGTCTTCGGATCTCCTTCAAGTCCTCTTGCAAATGGCCGATCATTTCTTCTGCGTCCAGCAGCTCGGCTTGGATCTTGTGCATTTCTTCTTCCATTCTTCTTTCTCCTCTTCATATTGTTGCCAGATGTAGGAATCGATCCACTCAGTCGCCTGAATCGCTGTGGCCTCATTCTTGATCATATGGCCCAGCATGCCATAGAGACCCTCAACCATGAAGATCCGAAGCCACTGTAGTGTGCTCAAGGCCCCAATCACAGCACAGAAGGCCAGCATCCACCAGCCATAGTCCGCGCCTGTCTTCTCCTCAGTCTCAACTTGGCTTCCAGCCACTGTGTTCATGCTCGCCATCAACAATAGCAAGCCCATGCGGATGCCCTTTGCCTTCATCATCTTCTTAGCTTCTTTCATTCTACTCTTCATGGCCAACTCTGTCTACGACTGCGTCCACAATCTGTAGAGCAGGCCGAACCTTTTGCGCCTATATCTGCACAGTTCCACTCTGAAGGAATTGCTGCCACACTGAAAGCTCTCTCACTCTCTTTTTGTTGAACCCGCAGCAGTGATGCGTCCAGGTGTCTGACGCGTCCGATGCCTTGGCGCTGCACCATGAATCTGGCAGCTGAACTGTCTGTTCTCACCTTCATCGTGCAACTCTCTCCCGTCATCTTGTTCAGCAGGTGCTTGATCAACATGCCATCTGAACAACCTGCCACCACTGCAACAAACTCGCTTTCACCTGATGACAGCTCGATGGCCTTTTGTGTTCTGACCCTGCTTTCGATGAGATTTCCATCGATCTACCAAATGCACGGGACCACTGTTGATCTCTTCTTCCTCTCTGGTGTCTAGCACTGATCTTCCTTTCTCTCTCCTCGACATCCTCACACCATAGTCGATGGTGCCTTGCAGGTACGAGCATAGGTGCCATGCATTCTTCAGAGCTTGCTTCGCTGGGGACGACATTTTCTTTGCCAGACATTGGATTCCAAATTGTGCATCTGGCCATTCGCTTGCCATGTACATCAGTCGTCCAACAATGCTTCTGAATTTGGTCACCGCATCGGCGTCCAGGAGTGGTGAGTCATCCTTTTTCGTGAAGTTCTGGTCAAGTGTTGTCTTCCGATATGCCTTGCAGAACAAATCCAGTTCCTTCTCTAGGCCATAGTATTGCTTCCGGTCACACCTGATATCACAATGATCTTCTGTGATCTTGAATTGCCTTTTGAGATATAGGAACTTCTCTCCTGCTGCGGCAAACGGCCCCTTCGCTTCCACTTTCCATTTCTTCACATCCTTCAAAAACATCACGAACTCTTGAAGGACTTGAGGTGTGCCCACCATGAAGACGTCATCTACAAGCACCGTCAGATACATGTTTCCCTGCCTCATGAACAGCGTGGGTTGCATCACATCTTGTTCCATCTTGAACTCTTTGCAGGCTCCTGAGAACATCTGAAACCACTGTGATGCCAATGTCCTTTGTCCTGGCAAGCATCTCAACATATCTCAACTGCCGAAACACCTTCTCTTCGATCTTGATGCGCGACCTCTCCTCACATGGCTGGTCAGCCATAAGAAAAGCGTCCTTGATGTCTAAGGTCATAGCTACGAAGCCAGCACAGACATTGAGCAGCAGGTGGATCATCATTTTCGGGATGATCATGAGCGATGTGGGAGCGAAAGTTTGCTCAATGTCCACACTTCCTTTGAACTGCCGTGCCACTAAGCTCGCTCTTCGGAACCACCCTCCTTGCTCTATCCTGTTATTCATGCCCGGTAGCTAACTCATAGCTTGTGCGGCCGACACCTTCCAGCACACGATACCTGTTGATCAAGAACGATGCGTGCTTGAAGGACCATGGATACAAGTGATTGTCACCCAAAATAGACAACCGTGCTCGCTCTTCAGCAAAAGATCTCAAACAGTTTGCAAGTCTTCTCACTGTTTGAACGGCTCTTTCAACCAGCCCATTTGATGCGTGCTGTCCTGCTCCCGTGCGGCGGATCTCAGTTTGCAACCCCTATCACTTTTCTCACTTGTTGAACTGACCTCAGAATCTGACGTGTTGCTCTTTCAGAATCCGCCTGAAAAATGCACTTCTCTCTGCCAACATTCTCGAGGGAAAAGCGAATCACTTCTTCTGTCACTGCTTCAAGCTTGCTGTGCCCTTACTGGGAACAGGCACTACATGGATGGCCTTGGCCTCCGTTGAAGCCATGATCAAGCGGGCGCCATATTGGTCTTGTCTCTCCTGAACTCTGCCCTGCGTTGGTTCCTCCATGCGGCCTTCTGGACCTGTGTACGTGTACATGATGTCCAACTGGATGACGGCAGTTCCCAAATGAGTGACAAAGTGAAGCTCCTGTTCAGGTAGAAACGGCAAGTCCAGAACTTCGGTTGCCCCAAGGTCATAGGCGTTCTCTGCTGCTCCCTGACCAGTTTGCTTGCGATGTTCATCTGGAACTTGTCCTCGACACTGCCATAGCGGACGGAAGGTCCAAACGGTGGTGCTCTTGACCAATAAAGCGGTGGAAAAAACGGCGAGCTCGCAACAGGAGAGGGTCCCTCCGCCGGAAGCCCGCCACACGAAAGCGAGAGGGAAAAAAAAGGTGACGCAGGCACAACCTCGGGACTCGCACTCTGTACGGAGCCAGAGGAAGTGAAAAAGCATCAAGGAAGAACCGGAGCCGCTCGAAGGGCCAGCTGGTTGTCCTTATAGGCGCAAGCCAGGGCAAGGCCAGAGACAGTCCCGCAAAATACAAAAAACAGGCTCTCACAGGAAGGCAAGCGTTCACGAAGTGACCAAGGTCATGGCTCGGACAAAGCGTTGAAGGAAGCAGAGTCGTCGGGGAGGCGGCGGACGACGGCTCTGGCATTTTCCCGTTGCAAGGTGATGCTCAAACCTTGCATCAATTGCTCAGTCATCTTGCTGGTGGAGTCACCGGTTCGAGCAGCGAGGAAGCTCCCCAATTGCCGGAAGACAGCCATGGCCGTGGGCCCCCAACCCCCAGCGCATCCTTCGGCAACTATAGGCAAGAACTGTAAGCCTTGTGCCCGGCACTGGGCTTCGGTTCGTTGGTGCATGCGTTTACGCTCCTCGTAAACCAGCGCAGCATGGCCGCCATGGCCAACAGTAGAAGGGAGCACGCCAGAGCGAAGTCCGCTGGAAACTGCAAAATCGAAGGCAGCCGGGCCATGGAGCCCCCAGCCTGGAACCCACACGTCGGCAGGTCGACGTGCGGAAGCCTGGTTCAACGACACTCCAGCTTCGCATAGGCCCGAATCTTCCGGCCGAGCAGGAAGCAAGCCAGGTTTCTCTAGCTCTGGGCTGAGGCCAGCGGCAGCCAACTTGGCGGCAAAGAAGTTCCGCAACCGGTTATGTCGTTTGCCTCGGTCTCCACCACATGGGCATACTCGAGCGTGGTCCCAAAGGAATCCGCCACCCCATCGCAAAGAGGGCAAAAGCCGTCGGACGGTGCAATGGGAAGGCGCAATCTCAGTCGGAGGAGAACTCGGAACAAATGGGTGTTGATGTGAAGGCCGAGATTGTCAGCTGGTAGGGCAGTGAGCCACGCTCCGGCCCCGGGTTGTTGGACCAGTTGGAGGTGGCCTTTGGCTGCTTCGCCAGTGGTGGCAGCTATCAAGTGCGCCTGCTGCGCCTTGTCCACGGTGGCCGACAAGTCCCGTTGTTGGTAGGACGGGGCCAACGAGTGGATTTGGTCCTCAGGCAAAACAACTTGGTTGTATGAGGTCAAAGCCTGGTGGACCGGGGGAGGCACCACCCGATAGGTAGGGTCAAGCTCCGTGCACGAGGCAGCAAGATGGGTGATGGACGCAATGTAGGCCGCAGGGGCATGCAAGGCAGTGCTGCGAAGACCCAGCCCGCCAGCTTTGATAGCGAGACTGGCTTGTAGCCAGGTGTTCTGGGTCAAGGGCAGCCCCCCAATTTGTTCGAGGCAGGCTTGCACCTGCTCATCAAAGGCTCGAAGCGCTGGGCCATGGCCGTGAGGGGGCGTGACCCGCATGGCGTGGGTGAGTTTGACGTGAGACTGGCAATGCCGGAGGAGGAGCATCGCCGTCTGGGCATCTGGGAGATCGGCCAAGGCTTGGAGGCATGGCTTGGCCGGCTCAACTCGTGTCGAAAATGTGTGGCGATTGCAATATGCCTCATCTCCAATGGCAGCCCCCAAGAAAGAAAAGTTGCCCGTGGTGTTGACCCCAATCCCGGTGGGGAAAAGCTGGAGCATTGCGGGAGGAGCGTGATCGCCGAGGAAAACCCGTTCACATTTCGATGGTTCCAGCTGGAGCCCGATGTTGCACGTGACATGTTGCAAAGCCTGGAGGCCTTGTGCGAGTTGGCTTGCATCCCCAGCCATGACCACATCGTCCAAGTACGCGAAACACACGTCGCAGTGCCCACGGGCCGCAACCAAAGCCGGCTGAAGCGCCAGGGAAAACAGCAAAGGGCCGAGGGGATCGCCCTGTTGCACTCCGCAGGTTGAAGCGATGGTTTCGCCCGCATATAGAAGACGGGAATGGTGGGAATAGCACGGCACACGTCAGCTCCACTGTCGAGCGTCACCTGGCATTTTTCTTCCTCCATTTCTGGCACGCTGACCATCTGGATCATGTAAAAAGCGGTCTCTTCAGTTTCCACCTGTTGTAGATCCAGTGCAACGATGGGGCCTCCTTGAAGTGCCCAGACTGTTGGTTCCAAGCAATCATAGAACATTTCATCCTCTGGCTCCTCACTTCCACACTCAACTGACTGGTCTGATCGCTCAATAATCCCAGCCAGCCTCACCATTTGCATGGGCGCCGCTCACTGTCTGCAGCTGTCCGGGGCGTAGTCAAGTCAAAAACCTCACCGTATGGGGCATCAGGGGGTGTAGTAATGCGCACCATCTTCACCGACGTGGTGTTTGAAGTGCCCCCACCACCACAGTCTGCCCTGTGAGTGCCATGCCGCAAACCCATTTTCTTGTTTCATATGGCGAAACAGTTTCAATGGTCGTTGCCTCATGTAGGATGTCAGCAAACTGTATAGCCTGATGGCCATGCCCTGCATCTCCTCAGACATGTCGTCAAGAGCATAGTCTGCATTGAGGTCTTCCTCCACAGCACCCAAAGCTGCTGCAAGGGCAGGGTCCATGCCCCTCACATAGTTGCAAGAGGAAAACTTCCAATCGCTCCATGTTTTTTTGTCTCCCAAGTTTTTCTCGCGCTGACAGTCCGGGAGCAAGAAGCCATGCGGTTGGTGCCAAGTCCAAGCCACAAGCCCCGTTGTCAGGAGGGGAGGCGGCTGGAGGTGGGGATGTCAGCGGGGACCAGGAGCGATCCTTTGAGTTCGTGGTCACGTGTGTCGTTTGGTGTCTTCAAATGCCGGGACCAGGCCTGAGTGCTTTGTGTCACCTGCAGCCTCTCCAAGGCTGTTGAGATGAGTCTCAAACTCTCTTCCGCCATCGCCTCGATCTTCCAAAGCTTTGGATAGAACCTCCTGGCGCTCCACTCTGCTCCTCCTTCACCATGTTGCTCTGCGAAGCTCTGCCCACTATAGGTTGCCAGCTCCCAGAACCTCCACCGCGCAACCAACGCACTGATCTTGTCTCCCTGGATCTCTTCTTGCTTAAATTCGAGCCTTGCCAAAAAGGACCACTTGCTAGGGACCACGACAGTCACTTCTCGAGTTGTTGTTTTTTCCTCTTCTTTCCTTCCTCACGAACGGGTGCTTTGGTGGCTCTCTCTGGTTTCACCCACTTCACCTTTCCAATACAAAATTCACCCTCCAAGATCACCGAATGAAAACAGCGTTTCTTTGTCCCCAAGGATTGAAATCAATCCCGTCTACAGTATACACCTACTATATAATACCTATAGAAGGTCGTCAAGTCCCCGGGGGCCAACCTTGGGCTGACCATGAAAGCCTGGGGGAAAGCGCAAAAGTGGCGCAACTAGATACACTGGCACCCCTGCCCAACACTGTACAAGGGAGACAGACAGAAGAGGCACCAATGCGGAGAAAACCTAGCAGGAGAAGGGGCCACCCAAGTCCCTCAACCTGGGCGGCATTGGCAAAAACCTAACGCCCCAGCCGTCCAGGCAACCACGGCTTGCGCCAGCAGTTGGAAGCAGGGACTTGCAAAAAGGGTTCAGAGGCCCATGAGGGGAACGCACCCGGAAAAGAGCGGCATCACCCACGCCCTTATGCAGAAAAAACCAGGCGGGGACAAGTCACTGCAACTGCACGTCCTGTCACAAGTTCGCAGAGCCAGATGCCCTTTGCACGAGGGTTTCCTCCCACCAGTGAAGGTGGTGGCCACGTTGTGGCTGTCGTAGTGCCTAGCGGGCCCCGGCTCTTACGATCGGGGCTCCCCTACCATGCAACGCGGCGCAACACGGTTTTCACCTGCCCACTTGGGCCTAAATGCCCGGGGTCGTCGGGTCCACTTTGTCAGGATGAATGATAAATGTTGATGAGGTTACTCGTACAAAACAAACTACATATTTCCGGGAGACAAGCGAGACCAACTCGGGCGTCAATCGGTTCCAGCTTCAACTCGGGCATCAATCGGTTCCAGCTTCGTTGGGAGACTGCTACATTCCCTTTCACTGCTCGTACGTTTGAGCACTTGCTATTTCGTTTCTTTCCATCAGGTCCTCAACGATCTTGATGTCGGCGAGAGGGTTGTCAGCCGGCTCCACAAAGCTACCATCGGCAGCACGGCGAAAGTAATTGAAACGAACGTCCCTGGAGTGCGAACCAGCTGAGACCCAACCTTCCGTCAACACCTCCAAACGCCCATCACCATCCATGTCTGCCATTGCCAGTACAGTGCCAAATCTTAGTAAAGGATTCTCTAGGCCCACTCGTTCCACCAGTTGGGCGGCAACGCGTTCAAAATACCTGCCATACTTCCATTGCCACCTCCTCACCGTTTCACCAAGGATGAGGTCTACATCACCATCTTCATCAAAATCGACGGCAAGCATTTCACATCGCGACCCATTCGTCAACAGCACGGTTGTTTCGAAGTTCGATTCGTTCAATGCCGGAAAACCATGAAAAAACGAACGCCTCAAGAAACTCACTGTCACCATGTTTTCCACCACTTTGCAGTGCAGGAGGTCCAGTTCCCCGTCACCTTGGCTTTTGTCGTTTGTGTCCACGCAAAGTGCTACCCACCCAACAACAAAATGAATAAAATCGACCTAAAACTGCCCACGTCACTGTTCCAATCAACAACTTCAAAACCACTTTGCGTTTGCCCTTCCACAGGTGTGAACATCACCAGCGCCTGTTTGTCAAAAGTGTCGTTGGCGAGCCGTTCATATAGCCAAATCCCGCCGTCTCCGTCTTTGACCAAAGCATCAGTGTCGCCATCACCATCCCAATCCAAAAAGCGTGCAGGTTTCCCCTTGCCGTTGAGAGTTGGCGGCACCTGGCCATTCCAGTCGAACGCAAATGACTAAACGTTGTCCGACACTGGCACCATCGAATCCCAGAAAAAAACTGGACTTGTTCAAGTTAAATTTGCGGAAATCACTCTCCATCACGCCTGTTTGACCAGATTGTGGCGCTGCCCACTGCAGGTATTGTCGAGGGCTTGGCACCAAGACCCCTCCACTGTCCACAAGAAATAGAGCTGCCACATAGCGTGCGAAATCCCAAACATCTTGGACTGCAATTGTTGGATTGGATTTACCTTTTGCTGCACTGCCTTGGCTTTGGATGGTTTTGACTTTGTTTGGCGTGAGCTGATAGGTGGCACAAGTACCAGATGACACTGAAATGTTTTCCATTCCCATGGCTTTGTTGCACGACAATAAATTCAGAGCACGTCCCTTTTTCCTGTCTTGCTCCGCCAATGGTTTGTGGGATTGCGGCTGTTCCAGGCCATGACAATCCCGAACAGGCCACACAACATTACCAAGAAGTTAGAACGAGCGTGGGTGACTCGAATTGACCACCTTTCTGAAAGCAAACAAACTATGGCGGTGCTCAACATGAACAACCATGGCGCCGGCTGCGTAATTTAAACTTGAGAGAGGAGGGGCTGAACGAAAGGTAGCAGGGAATCAGGCGTAAGCCTGGAGGAGGTCAGGCCCCCTCCCCCTGTTTGAACAGAAGCCCTCGGTAGAAAGTACTGAAGCCTAGGCACTTTTCGAAGCACCGAGTACTGTTCGACCATTCTTGAAACCCAGACATTTCAATAACCGAGGTTTTTGTCCGGACAGCCACAGAAAACCCGCCCATTGCGTGGTTTGAGGCCACTCTGGCCAACTGGAGGGGCTGAAAACATTGGTATTGACGGTGCTTTGTCGCTGTTGACAAAAACCCCCGCCAGGGTGGAGTTGACGGTGTTTTGTGGCCACTTTGAAGCGTACATAGCTTAAAACCATCCCAACTGACGGAGTTTTGTGCCAGGAAACCCGTGTAAGTACCGTCGTTTTGTGCAACTTTGAAGCCTCCAAGCGCCGAAAAACCCTTTCCGCCACAAAAGCGAACTGCAAATAGCGTGGCTTGAGGCCACTTTTGAAGACGGGAGGAGCTGAAAACAATTGTCAATTGTATTTACGGTGTTTTCCACTTTGAAGCGTACATAGCCCAAAACCATCACAATTTACGGGCGAAGGCGCACAAAGCCCTGTAAATACCGTCGTTTTGCGCCGTTTAGAACCCTCCAAATGCCGGAAAAAACGTTTCGACAAACATTTTCCAGGTTTTTGGCAATTTTTCGGCCACTTTTGAAGCCTAGACACTTCAAAAACCGTCGGCGTTTACGAGGTTTTTGGCCGGATGGCCACAGAAAACCCCGTAAATTGCGTGGTTTGAGGCCACTTTTGCAGACTGGAGGGGCTGAAAACATTTGTTTTTATGATTTTTTGCGGCCGTTGACAAAGAGCCGCGCCAGGGTGGAGTTGAAAGGGCCCACCCCCGGCCTCTAAAATGAAATGTTGGGAGACAATTCTCAGTGACATGGGTGTCCACTCTGGATATAATTCAGTTTTTCTGAAGAAAAAAAAGGATCTGGTAGCGTAACCGTTACCTTTCGTGATCACTTGCTGTCTAGTCACCAATTTTCATACATCCAGGTTTGCTGCCCTGAAAACGTTTGTCCGCTGGCGGGCCGGCCTGCCGTTTGGCCAAAAAAATTTCGAGGCCGGATGTTGTGGGGGTTTGTCCTAATAATTGTTCCTTGTCTAATTCGTGGCGTTTGATGCTTGCTCCTGCGTTTTTAGGGATGTATCTCAATGTTTGCCTTTAGTCCCCTCATACTTGAAGCATAGTCTTTTACTCAAATGTTGTGCGCGTGCAGTAATGCATTGCTTGCCTTTTTTCGCCTGCTCCATAGAATGTCACCACACCGACCTACGCCCCCAACCTCACCGTTTTGGTTTGCCCAATCAGTGGAAGTCCACTGGCCAGCCGATGCGATCCTTCCTCGGGGTCCCCAATTTTAGCCCTCATTAACCATAACAGCCTTGCTGACCAAACGGCCAATCCCCCCCCTATCTCCCTCAGTGCCCCTTTCGCAACCTTGCCGTCTGACCTTGACGGTGTGTGCTACCCGAAGCCAAAGGAGCAGCGAGTCCGAGTGAAAATGCGTGAGTTGACACCAGGCTGGAGGTGAAACGCCATCAGCCGCGCAGAGGCAGGCGGCAAGGGCTGGCAACCAAAACATCTGCGACTTCATTGGTCCTTGGCCAACGTTTCGTCCTAACGCCAACTCCAACTCTTCACTCAGCAGGCCCTGATCAAGCGGTGGTTCATGCCTAATGACGTTTGAGTGGGCTGCGAAGATTCATCACCCCACATTTTGGCCAGGCACCGGCTCTCGCACATTTATATAGGTGTCAATTTGTCGGTGCACTTTCCCCAAACAAGCTTCGCACCTTAATGTCACCCACACTTAGGTCGCAGAGCGGGGCGGGGTCCAAAAACAACTACCCTTCCCGGGACCGTCCTAAAAATCCCACCATAGCCGCGAAAAAATTGAGCCTAAAGTACAAGCACTAAAGAGTCGGACCTGCTCAACCCCTCAAAACCAATCATCACGTTCCACTTTGTGATCTTCTCTCCGCCTCAGTGTTTGGCAATGCCTTTTCATTGAGGCATCCACTTTTTTTCTGCGAACTGTCGCTTGGGAGGCGCCGCGCGAACCCGGATCTGAGCCGCCGTTGGGAGGAGTTTTTGTTAAAATGGTAGTTGGAGTAAAACGGTGGTGACGCACGATTGTGTCACAGTGAGGTCTTGGCATTCTCACTTTCAGCGGTCCCTCATATCACATGAGAGAGCCCTGGGGCATAGCCTGCGACATCGTCCGTGGGGCACCAGCAAATTCAGGAATCAGGAACATTTTTGCGTTTCGTGTTTTATTTTCCACCGTCTGAAAACGATGAAGGGCAAGGACGCAACTACCTGTCTGGAGGTTGGTAACGGAGTTCGGCACGCTCCAGTTACATCCCGCCACAGCAACTTTTCAGCAAAACATCATTGGAACAGTTTGGAAACAGCTGTTGAAAGTTCCCGGACGATTTCCCGAGTGAAAGATTTGGTTTGGGAAGCCAGGGCAACTACCGTTCAGCAAGGGGTTGAACTACCAACCCAATGCGGTGAGTTGAGACTTGAAGAACGAAGAGGCGCAATTGCAAGTTGTGCGCCACAGGACGGTCACAAAGAAAGGAAAAGCGGAGATCCCGCCCTTTCTGGCAAAGTGGCACTTGATATCACCCATGCAAATGCGCCCCCCCCCCGCGCCACGGCCAAACCCCTGTCTCCTGAAACTCCTCCAGCGCCGACTCGCCAGGAATCCGAACCCTTTCCTCTCCCAAGCGTTGGCGTGGGAACCGCAACCTCCAGCATCACGAACTAAGTTTGACCCACCTCTGCTGTTCTTTTTCGAGTTTTCACTCATAGGTTCCGCCTTGGACAACCATGTTCGCTGCAACCAAACCAAGGGCGAACCAAACGCTCAAAAGCCCCGCCACAGTTCAGGGTTGCTTTCGATGGTTTTACCTAGGCGGGCCTCGCCAGCTACTGGTGAACAGGAAACAGTTTTCCTGAAAAGGAACGCGCCTCCTGCACAGATGTTTCTCGTCCTTGTCAATAGGGCATGGAAACAAAAAATGAAAAGGTTCAACAAAAGATCACTGAATTGGGCAGGCGCAGGCGCGTGCATAGGGTTGGCACGAAGCGATTGCAGGAAGTTACAGTGTCCTTGGGGTGCCTTCGCCAACCATGCACTTTGGTGGCTCAAAGCAGCCAAGCCACAAGATGGAACCCACGAACCCGAATGCAAACACGTTCGAAAAACTACATATGTCCAAGTGACACTTTTGTAGGACGCTTTTGTGGGACACTCTTCTGGGACACTCTTGTAGGACACTCTTGTGGGTCACTCTTGTAGGAAACTCTTGTGGGACACTCTTGTAGGACACTCTTGTGGGACACTTTTATAGGACACTCTTGTGGGACACTCTTGTGGGACACTCTTGTAAGACACTCTTGTGGGACA